TGTGAAACAATAAAACTCCATGTTTATTTAGCAATCAATTATGTTAGGCTCTTTATAGCTCAGCTCAGTCTCTCAGGTGTGAGATCTTATCTTATTGCAAGTCTGAAAAATGAGTTTGGCTACGACACATAAACCGATATTAACTAATCATAATCATATTATTTGTTCTACTCTACAAATTTAATTATATGTTAATATTATATAAAAAACAAAGCAAATCCTGGCTATAACTTTGCAAAAATGTGAAAATGAAACGTACATTGTTTTTGTATATCGTCGCCTCAAAGCAACAGTAGGATATGTAAAAAAATGACTTTTGTGATATTCATGTCAAATGATTCGAAATAAACCCTTCTGTTGAGTGTAACATTAGGATAAATAAAAAGTGATATACTTTTTTCATAATATTACATATCCTTGTGTAGCTTAATTCCTTTTAGCACAAATTTTATAATGCAACACTAAGACAACATACATATCATACCATTATATTTTGTCGTTTACCCATTTTGGTCATCAATATTAATGCAACACCAAGTTATCTACGCACATATCCTACTGTTGCCATGTACTTATTGCTGAGTTGCGATTATGTCTTTGTTTATATTATCCAGCTTGCGGTCACAATTTTATCTTCAGTAATCTCAAACAATAGTTCTATTACATTGATGTTAAAAGGTGTATGTTAAAGAGTAAAAAGGAATAATTCGGCCAATTTAAATTGTACAAATTATGGGTATCTAGAAGTCAGTATTTAGTGTATTTACCGAACAAAAATAACACTGATTCCAAGTTGTTATCTGGAATTTATTAAGCACAGGAAAAAGGTAAGTTAAATTTATAATAAATTCCCCTTTAGAAATTTTGGGCTGATTTAATAAAATGCAATAAATTTGTACTTTCACAACTTTCATTTTTTTTCATTTTTTTTTTATTATCTTGTCAAATTTTAAAATTTTTGTAAAATATGTATGTTGATGTTATTATTTATGTACTAACATGTTTGAATAACAAAATTGTTTTTTTTGTATTGGAATGTGTAAAATTTTAAACAAAACTTTAGTGCAACATAAGTTAATATAACAGAAATTTAGGGATATCGTTAAAATATAAAAAAGTTATGAATTACTCTAGTTTCGTAAAATTTTCAAATGCGTTTTTCTCGAAACTACATTATTTTATATAATCCTACTGTTGCTTTTAGACGACGATATACTGTTGGCTGCATGCAGCCCCAGTAAGCACAAGTACGTACATAAGACATACTAAGTACGTACTGATGGGACATAAAGTACGTACAATGTACGTACTTTGCTGTACAAAGTACGTACTTAATACGTACATAAAACGTACATTTTCCAAATTATGGTACGTACCTATTATGTACTGAAAGTACGTACCTGGTACGTACTGAAAGTATGTACCTAGTACATATTGAAGGTATGTACTTAGTACATACTATATATATATATATATATATATATATATATAATATATATATATATATATATATATAAGAAAAAAGAAGTACTTGTTTGTGACTCGTTTGGAAAAAATATAACACTGTTTTTGATGGGTTGGAGTCAATAAAAGGGGCTATTTGTTGACTATTTTTTACTCGAGCTTTCAATTGTGATTACAATTTTTATCAAGAGCTTCTAAAAAAATACAAAGTGTCTTACAAAGTTGAACTAGAAATAAAAAATTTTTTGTTAACTCACCAAATAAAATTAGTTTTTTATATAAAACTACTGCTTACATATTAAATACAAAAAAATTAATAAAAAAATGTCTTATTCTAATAAATGTTTCTCTGAAAAATTTTGATGAAGTTTCTTAAAAAAAAAATTGAATTGAAGAAGATTTATTCACCATTGATAGATGCCCGAAAAAATGTAACAAATACATGGAAAATTCAAAATGTTATATTTTACTGACTGCAGATATAAATTAAATAGAAATTATATAATTATAAATTTTGCTTAAATTTTGAATTTTTGACCTTTTGTTTAAATTATTATCACTTTTGCTAATACAAACCATTTCCAAAAAAGTTCTTTTAAATTTATTACTTTCATTACATAAAATTTTAATATTATCAAAATCCATAATATGGTCTTTGTCTATTACATGCTATTATTATTATTATTATCTATAAATCGCATTATTTCTCACAAGAGTGATTGTAGAATTAAGAAACTATCTTGTGCTTTGGCAGAGTATGTAATAGACAAAGACCATATTATGGATTTTGATAATATTAAAATTTTATGTAGTGAAAGTAATAAATTTAAAAGAACTTTTTTGGAAATGGTTTGTATTAGCAAAAGTGATAATAATTTAAACAAAAGGTCAGAAATTCAAAATTTAAGCAAAATTTATAATTATATAATTTCTATTTAATTTATATATGCAGTCAGTAAAATATCACATTTTGAATTTTCCATGTATTTGTTACATTTTTTCGGGCATCTATCAATGGTGACTAAATCTTCTTCTTTTTTGTTACTAATAAAGAAGAATTTTTTAAACAAAATTTTATTTTTGACAATATGTCAAAAATAAAAATTTTTAAGTTAGTATTTATGACATTTAGGCTGGTTGTAGCTATTCTATTTTTGTTTACAAATTCAATTTTTTTTCTTAAGAAACTTCATCAAAATTTTTCAGAGAAACATTTATTAGAATAAGACATTTTTTTATTAATATTTTTTGTATTTAATATGTAAGCAGTAGTTTTATATAAAAAACTAATTTTATTTGGTGAGTTAAAAAAAAATTTTTTATTTCTAGTTCAACTTTGTAAGACATTTTGTATTTTTTAGAAGCTCTTGATAAAAATTGTAATCACAATTGAAAGCTCGAGTAAAAAATAGTCAACAAATAGCCCCTTTTATTGACTCCAACTCATCATGGCCCATCTTTACTGTCACTCATCTGTCAGTTTCATCAGGTTGCTGAGCTTGTTCCTGGCTCGACATTTAGTTTGGTTTGCTTAATATTTTGCCTAAATGGTGCAGCTGAATATATTTTCTACTTAAGATAATGTACCAAAAGGTTGTCGATTTAGCCTATTTCTTGTCTATTTCTTTATCTTCTCTGAGTAACTTATTTAAAGCTTAATCCAGGAAGAAAGGGTAAATGACCGTGGCTGCAAAGAAGGAAAGAATAATTCGTTTTATAGCACTGTTTCCTCCGTCCGCTGTTTTTGTTTTCTTTTGTCCATGTGCTAAAGGATAGTTTTTAACAACTTTGGAAAATCTTTCTTATCTATTGTGGTTAATGTGGGGTGACATATTTTCCAATAACTCAGAGTTTCGTTCAAGCCATCTGAAAGAGACCAAAAAAACCGACATCAAGTGGTTGGGTCAAATGTGTTTTTGACCAAACATATAAAGCCCACATTGTTTTGTTCGCATAAAGATATCACCTCATTGGTAAAATGTGAGAAAAAGTTAACTCCTATGATGATTTTTTTTGCCTTTCAAGACGTTTTAAATGCAGTAAAAAGGTAAACGTGAACCAATCCGTAAATGTTTGTAATTCTATCCGTCCGTAATGGGTGCGAATTGTTCGTGTTGCAGAGAATCTAACTCCAGTTCCACCCCCAAAAATTTTAGTAAGTCCAAGTTCTTAACCCCAGAAATTTTAAAGAAATTTTAGTGAAACCCAGATAACGTTTTTTGTTTAACATTTTTTTATTAATAATTGCTTTCATCACCGTTTGAGAAATTGTATCTAATAATTCAAATTGTAGCTGTTAGGATGTGGCTAATCTGTCATATTAATTATTTCCAAAGTTTTAAGATTTAGTATTGACATAATATGACATTTATCACTATTTTTTAACAGTTAATAAATACTTAATCATAAATTGAGATCTTTGTTTTTGTTTTTTTTTTAATAACCACTATGCATAATTTCATTTAAAAAGCTAATTTTCATTTTAATTTTTTCCGTCACAAATTGTCGCCCATTACCAATGGTAAGTTTTGTAGTATCTCCAACTACACGAGTTGGTAAACTGATAGAACATAGTAAGTTTGTTTTTGATATTTTGTATTTTATTGTTATTATGTATATTTGTAACTGTTTGTGGTGAGATAACAATAAATATTTAGTTTTTTCCTAAACCAATTTGTTTATTATTTTTAATGTTAACTCTTTTTTATATTTTAAAGAAGCAATTTCTTTCATCCAACAGGAAAATTCTTCAAAGCGGCGTCCTTATTTTAAATAGCTTGAGAACCTTCTTGTGTTTTGTTTGTCCAGGAGACTCATGTAAGTACCCTTTTGTTTCATTTTTGTAGTTGCCCAATCCAATCCATTGTTTCATTCACTTATCAACGACCCAGTTCTCCAAATAAACCCTGAGTAGCCGTTCGCAACAGTTTCGTCATATTTTGCTTGCCCTATCTCGACCCCAATAATTTCTGTCTCCAGTTTTCAACCCCCTATAGTAATACCCTATGTGAAAGGCAAAATAATTGTTAAACATCAAGGTCACGCGGACCTTCGGAATAATACCAAATTATCCCTAACAGTATTCTCTGGCAATTTTTGAAAAATAAAATTGATTTTTTGAAAATTGTTTGGAGGAACCTGGTCTTAAAAACTAAAACAGAGTGCACGATTTTTAACATTGTACAAGGCTTTTAATTATCCCGCTATTTATGTGATTTGTAACTAAGGGAGATTAGCATAGTATACAAGATTTTGGGTTTTTAATGCCACTTTTAAAAAAGCAATTATCATAGTTGCCGCTTTATTGTCTCTTCATTGAGTTAGAGTCATATCATTCATCAAGAGCACTTTTCTATGGCTAGCAGTCAGGCAGAATTCTCAATAACCACGGTTAATTTTATTCCGTTAATAAAAAAATAAAAACAGTTTTCCATATTTTGGTAAATTTATGAACAGGAACAAAAACAGTTTAAATGATAAAAAAATTAATATTTGTGAACTAAATATTTCAGGTTACTGTAAGTTGCTATTTTTTTTTAATAAACCCAATAGGGACTTGATAAATGTTCTCCCAAAACGGACTTCCACTTTTTGTATCTTTTTGGTTGTGAAGACACCTCCAAGGTAGAATTAATTATAAGGTATTCCATATTTGAAGATTTCACTTTAGGCCATTTTATTAGGTCATCGTCATCATCAGGAGTAGGATTCCTAAAAAACATTTATTATAAATGATTTTTTAATAATACCAAAGTAATTTAAGGTATTGTTAAATTAATTATTGAAGGGAAAGATTAGTAAAATTTTTTAAACAAAGCTTATATTTCGCATGTGATAAACTAGTCCCATCGGAAGATTTATCAACTAAAGATTTTACATAGTAAGGCTGATTTAGAATCAATAAACTTGTCGATTAACTTCCAAAATCATTAAATTTAATATTAAGATTCCTTTATCTAGAATAAAAAAAGAGAAAAACAAGTAACTTAAAGATGTTTTAAGGAGGTTTGTGATCAGTTTTACTTACAGCAGCCTTTTTTTACATTTCTACAGTTAGTCGGTCTTGAACAGATGGAAACGAGTTTTAGCAGTATTTAAATTACTTGCTTTGATTATTTTTATATTTGATAAATAATAATATATAATACTTAAATGATTTTTTTATTGTTTTTGCTAATAATTTAAAATAATATAACCAAAACTTATATACAAGATATAAAAAACCAGAAACATTAAGAAAATTAATTTTAAAACTTAATCCAAGTAAATATGAATTCGTAAAGTAATACCTACTATAATTAGCGAACAAAAATTCAAGTAAAGGAATAACTCCAGTTCTGGAAAAATTATACCTTATATAACCTATCGTACAAGGAAAAATTATTGGAAAGCGAGCTTGAGAAAAAAGAAGAACATCCTGGTTAATGAACCTAAAAACCTGGTTCAATACAACATATGTGCAGTTTTCCCGCGTGTTGCAGATAAGATAAGTATGACCATGATGATCGCCATCATTCGTTACGGATAGGCACATCAAAAAGAAGATAAAAATTTTGGTAAGGACTGGTCAAACAAAGATTTTCTAGCTATTTTATCTTTTTAATATTGTAATATTATTGGCGTTAAAAACACATTTTAATTTAGCAATACAGTTTTCAGTAGATATAGGGATTAAAATTAATTATAAATCGTAATGTGCCCAATCGTTAGCTTTCTTTAAACTTATAAAAGTGTGCAGTGCAATACTTACATGTATTTAACAAAATTTGTCCACATCTTCATCATACGTTCATGTATCAACTTATCATTTTGTCTGTTGAACTTTTTATCACCAAATAAATATCTTAATTCAAATGTATGGGCAACATTATCGGCATCTAGAACAGTTTAAAAATTAAAGAGTGGCAGAAAAGTAAACTTTCATTTATTGTTTGGATACAAGATTATTATTAAAAATTTCGTTACCTTCAAACCGAAGCGCTTTGTTTGATCCTCTATAGGCAAATTCGTAAAGATAAACAGGTGATTTCTTGGATACCAACTCTGCTTGACGTATTATGGGAGTTGAGTACAAATTGTCACTAAAGAACTAAAATATAATAAAAATAAAATTGAAACCATTTAAATGTCTAGTATAACTTCTTTTCCGCAAAAAAATAGATAGAAAATCAAATCTTGTGTACGGAATAATTTTGCGTACTGCACAAATAGGTTTACCTTCTGTTATTTTTGTCACATAGTACCGACCACAGGTCGCAAAAAATAGTAGGTTGAAAACCGCTTGAGGGAGGAATTCAAGAATAATTTCTTACCCGAATGAGACATCAGTCCCTAAGTAAAACCTTATTTTACCAAAATGTATCAGGTAAGAGTTACTTAACTTGATCAATGTGCGAAACATTGGATACTTGGGGCATATCCTGAGAGGAAAAAATACGCAATCTCTTAACTAATTATCCATGAAAAGGTTAAGGTCAAGGAAGGAGTAGGTCGAAAATAAATGCTACGGAATATAAAGTACTGGCCAGGCATAAATAATACTGGCGAGATTTTACATGCCGCAAAAGACAGAAAGAAGAAGTACTCATCATGCTATCGGTTTGAGTACCGCGAAAATATTACAAATTTAGGAGAATATGTAAAATATTAAACAAAAATTTTAAGGTTTTAAATGTCTCATACGCTGTGGACTTTATTTATTGCTTTTTTTTCCTGTTTTCGTATTTTCGTGTTTTAGTCCACTTGCATATTTTTTTATCTTAGATATTCTTTTAGTTCTATAACTGAGTATTATGCAGTTAAGCGTTTTGTTTGTTTTTTTAGGATTTTTACTTCTACTCTATCCAATAATCTTTATAATTTGTTGGAATATGTTCTTATTTTATCCTTGTCATTTTCGGTCCTATTGAAGTTTTGTATATTATTGTTTTTGTCTGTTTTAATGTATTTGTTTATCCATAAAGTGCAGTTTACATACTGTGCTGCTCTTTTTGCCTTATTTACCTGTTTATGTGCTTCTTCTTCTTCTCTTTCGTGACTTTGTAATTCAATTCTCAAATATTCTGCTGCTTCTAAGTGATGAAATCATCATGTTATATTGAACAGCCGAATCTTCGAGTTGTTCAATTAGGCTCTGAAGATCATATAAATTTTCTGCCTATTGTGTGGCTTTGATTGTGGTGCAGAAAAAAGGAAGAGACTGAAGCGCTATAAGAAGATGAAATAGGAACAAAAACTTGTTCAAGTAAAAGTATTATTTGATGATGACTGCAAGAATGCAACATAAAAGAATAAAGCCTACAGTAAATGCTCACCCAATTATCTAGAGCAGCTACAAAGCATTTTTAGATAAAGAAAAGAGAAGAAAACAGGATACACAAAAACGAAACCACTTAACTAAGGAATTTAAATATATAAAATGCCTTAACAAAAATAAAGAATTCATAGTATTCTATAAGAAAATTAACATAAACAAAAAAGAATTCAAGGTAACTACAAACCAACAAAAATAACACTGATCGATTCTTTATAGAGAATGAAAAAAAAACCTGAAGACGACAGAGATAAGTGGACCATATGAGAGAGAAGAGGTACCAGAAACGATTCTTAAAGTGATAAACGTAGTTAAAAAACTAGCTCGAAAGAAATTCTTCAAAATAGATTATCTCTCAGCCGAACTATATAAAGAACGTGGCAATCATACCATAATGGCAGCCTCTCTAGTGATTGTAATATTGGAATACTTTGTAAAATGAAAAAATTTTTGAATGCTCTATTCACAGAGGAATTAAGCTTCTAAACACTATACTATGCCATCATGTGGCACCATATATGCAGAAAAATATCAGTATGATTTCTAAGGTGATAAACCGACAATTCATCAGATACGGAGAGTGGAATAACTGTTTAAAATAGGTTAGGAGAGAGACAGTCTTGCCATGTTAATTATCATAGTCAAGGGAACTTGATAAGGCAGATTAAGAAGAAATTCATAGATTATAATATTTCCGAACATCTGCAAATTAGTCTTTCCTATAATTTTTACCGCCCAGTTCAAAACATCTTTGTCTGGATTTTCTTATCTTAGGATTAGGGTTAGCCAGCTCAATAGTAATGCCTGTGGTCTTTAGATCGTCATTATTAGTTTTCACATGTGCGTAGAACTACTTTTGTTTATGAAATGCGACAAATGTTAGAGAAAACACTGGAATCTGGTATAGATACTGTTATGTGACTGTAATTACAATCCTGTAATACACAAAGCGAAGCGAAGTTATATTTTTTTCGAAAATTTCACCTAGCGTTCTATTAATGGTTTACTCGCGATATTTTTCTGGAATTTTAAAGAATTTTTAGTTTACAATAAAATTAGTTAAACTGCGTTTACTTAATTTATAAACCAAGAGAAAACGGTGACAATAGGTACTACCTACTAATCACACATTTATAGACTACAAGGTAGCCCACGATTCTGTTCTTCTTCTTCTTAAAGTGCCCTCTCCTCAATGGAGGTTGGCTACTACAATTTTAAACTCTTCTCTATCTTCAGCTGTTCTTATTAGCTGTTCAAAATTTAGCCCTGTCCATTGTCGGATGTTTCTGAGCCATGATAGTCTTTTCCTTCCTAGGCCTCTCTTTCCCTCGATTTTTCCTTTCACTATAAGTTGGGCATATTGGTACTTATTATTTCTCAGTATGTGGCCTAGGTATGATGTTTTTCTTACTTTTACTGTGTTAAAAAGTTCTCTTTCCTTGCCTATTCTATGCAGCACTTCTTCGTTTGAGGTATGCGATGTCCATGAAATTTTGAGTATTCTCCGGTAGATCCACATTTCAAAGGCCTCCAATTTATTTACGGTTGATGTTTTAAGGGTCCACGTTTCAACTGCATATAGAAGAGTCGACCAGACGTAGCATTTTGATAAACGTAGTCGAATTTCGAGTTTTATTCGAGAATCACAAAGCAGTTTTTTTATTTTTTCGAAAGATTTTCTAGCCTGTTCTATTCTCGATCTTATTTCTTGATCAGGATTTAGGCTGCTATCGATCCAACATCCCAGGTACTTAAATCTATTGACCTGTTCTAAGATGTGCCCATTTATTGTGCAAGGTTGAGGTACGTTTTGGTTTTTTCGGATTGACATCACTTTGGTTTTTTTAATGTTTATTTTCATACCAAATTGCTCACAGGTCGAGTTGGTCTTGTCGATGAGTCGTTGTAGACCTGAGTCGGAATCCGCAATTAACACTGTATCATCGGCGTATCTGATACTGTTGATATTTACGCCATTCACCTTGACTCCATCCTTGGAATCCTCCAATGCTTCTTTAAATAGAAACTCGGAGTAAAGATTAAACAGCAGAGGCGACAGAACACATCCCTGTCTAACTCCCCTCCTAATTTCTACTTCTGCGGATGTGGAACCTTCGATCCTAACTCTGGCTTTTTGGTTCCAGTACAAGTTTTTTAAGAATTTGATGTCTTTTCCATCTAAACCGACTTCTTGCAAACGTTCTAATAGTAGGTCGTGTCTTACTCTATCAAATGCTTTTTCGAAGTCTATAAAGCATATAAATATATCTTTCTGTTGGTCGTAGCATTTTGGGCGAGAACTACTAAACTGAACAGGGCTTCTCTCGTTCCCATGCCGGCTCTGAATCCAAACTGATCGTCTCCGATGATTGTTTCGCACTTTCTATAGATACGATTATGTACGATTTTTAGTAGGACTTTTACAGCATGACTCATAAGGCTTATCAGACGGAACTCATTGCAGTGTTGTGGGTTTGGCTTTTTTGGTAGTGGGATGAATATTGACTCCAGCCAATCTTGGGGTACTTTACCTGTATCATAAATGCGATTGAATAAAAGGACAAATAATTCGATATTTTCTTCGCTGATTAATTTGATCGTTTCTGGGTATATTCCGTCTGGACCTGGGCTTTTATTTGTTTTGAGATGATTAATTGCATTTATGATTTTAGATTACAGAATTGTTGGCCCTTCGTTGTTATTTTCCAATCTTGGTTCTTCTCGTATGTCGTGAAAAAGAATTTTAATATAGTTTTCGTATTCTTTCAGTTTATCTTCCGTTGATTCTAGCAGTTTGTCATCCGTGTTCAGCATGGTGTGAAAAGTCGTTCTCTTGGTAGTCGATGTAAACTCTTTTACCTTTTTGTGTAAATTAAAAAAATCGTGCCTTTGTTGCAGTTCTTCTATTTCAACGCATTTTGTTTCCAGCCATTTCTCTTTTGCTTCGGTTATTTTTTTTCGAATTATTCTATTTAGTGTTTTGTATTCTCCGTCCTTGTCTTTTTTTCCTTTAGACTCTCTTCGTTTGTTCATTAACTGTAAAATCTCTTCTGTCATCCATTCCTGTTTGTTATTTCTAGGTGTTACTTTTAGATGTTTTTCCGTTACATTGGTTATTTGTTCATTAATAGTTTCCAGTTTATTTCGTCGTACTCGCTAATTCTGTTGTGGTCAATATTTCCTAAATTTTTGTTTAATTCTTTATTTAATGTCTGATGTATGGTGTCGTTTTTCAATATTTGGATGTCTAATAGTTGGTGTTGAGGTTTTTGTTTCTTTATTAGTTCCCATCTTGCGCGAACTTTTGCAACAGGATTATGATCGGAATTGATGTCAGTTCCAGGATATGTTTTTGCACTGATGATTGCATTGTGATAACGATTCTGTTAATCAATACGAAATGTTCAGACCAATAAAGACGAATAAGGACCAAATTAGGTGAGATATTAAACAAATCGAACTCTTAAAAAAGCTTAATTTAGAGTACTAATCGACAAGGAACTGCCTGAACTTTTGAAAACAAATGACGGACACCGCCACGGAGACTCGCTCTCCACAAGAAGTTTATGTAGCACTACAATAATCGGCAACAAAAATGGGTTTAATAATATACAGCAACAAAATGAAGTACATAAAAATAAGCACGCAACCAGAAATTCTACGAGCACTTGCTATAGACAACGACGTCATCGAAGCAGTTAACGAATTTGTGTACGTGGAAGTGCTCAACAACACTTAAATTTATTAATACTACATCAAAGACAAACCGAGAATTTTCACAACTAACAAGTGTTATTTTGAGCCCAATTGACTTCCTAAATACTTAATAGGGAAAGAACAAGATCATAAATTACATGTAGAAGACATAAATATAAGGGTAACAAAACAGAAATAGAAATGAAACAAACAAATTAGCAGACTGTCAGAAAATAGAACAGAAGAAGTCAAATAAGAATATTACTAGACAAATCATCAAATGTTCGAAGAAGTATTGAAAGACCAAGCAAGAGATAGTTTAATAATTTAAATGATGCAGAAGGCTAACATTGAAGAAAAAACAGACCTTACAAGCATATGTATATAGAAGAACGTTTTTAGGCTTGTGAATGTTTTGGTAGTTGGATATTTGTATTTATTCTCAATTAATAATTGATGTTTTAATTATTTTTACTCTAATGCTTTCTATACATTTCAATACTATCTTTTGTATTTATATTAGGTGTGTTAATTTTAAGATAATGTAATATTTTTCAACTGGTGCTATTTTTACAAATGTTGACGGGTATATTAATATAACCATTAGCCACTGTTGGAAACGGTGATCAAATATGATAAATTATAGCACCTGAGATATTATCCACAAATGATATCAGGTATAATGGTAACCCATTGGTTTTTATTTCTCGTTTAACAACTAAAACATTAAAACTAGCACACTAACTTCCAAGAGTAGTCCTTTGTTGTCCTTAAATGAGGAAGTGTATATTGCTCTTAAATCTTTTCCAGTTTGAGTTTTATCATCTACATTAAGGTTATCAAATACTAGAGTTTGAGGATTGTCATCTATTCTTGAGGCAAAATTTAACGCTGCTACATAATCTGAAATAATATTGTTAGTAACTACTAGTTAATAAGAAGCTACATATGTACGTACTATGTAAAAACTAATTAAAGTATTAGATAGATACCAAATGCGAATATTATTTGTTATTAAACTAATATTTGATAGAATCTTATAGAATCTGCTAAGACAGTGGTTCTCAACCTTTTTGTGGCGACGGAACACTTTTAATTACCGAAAAAAAATGCGGAACACCAAAGCAATAACATGCATATATTGATAAACAAATTAGGATTAGCACATAAATTCTGTAATAAACTTTATTATACGTACTCAAATTTGTAAAATTTTACTTAAAATATGAAAACAAAAAACATTTTTAAAATTAACAAAAGCGTAATTCTCAAAATACATCATATGAGTAAATACTTCAAATTAGTGAGACACTTGTGCCTGGTGTCGTTTGCAAATTTGCTCAATATCAGGCCTGATGTGGGAAAGAGCTACTCTCATTTCTTGTTCTAAGTTTAGCAGCCTTTCCCGTTTCTTATTTTTAATGTTTGTTAAAGATGAGAACCCAAATTCACATAAATAGGACGTTGAAAACTGTATTAAAATACTAATCGCTTTTTTGGCAAGAAGTGGATATTCCTCTTGGACCAAGATCCAAAATTCCTGAACATTCACTTCTGAAAACTTAATTTTCAGAGTACGATCAGATGACAACGAAATAAATTCTTCTTCTTGGTTCAGAGAAAACTGGAAATTGGCTGTATTACTTGTGCTAAAAGGACTTCTTATCCAGTCATATTTTTCTACGTTCAGAGATGGAAAATACCTGGCAATTGTCTCCTCTAATAGTGATAAGTGTTCTGTAACTATATGCGTGATTTCTTGTTCTTTGTCTTCATCACCTTCATTCTGAAGCAGTGGAAACATATCCATTTTATTTGTCTCTAAAATGCGCTTCTTCCAAAATGACAATTTTTTCTGGAAAGCTGACAGCTTGTCCGTGGATGTTAAAATATTTTCATTTTTGCCTTGCATACTTGAGTTAACGCCATTTAAATAATTAAAAATATCGGCCAAATATGCCACTTTAGTGCACCATGCATCATTTTCAAAATATGTGGTAAATGTGTCATTACCTTCTTCTTGGAAAAAAGTTAACAGCTCCGTTCTAAGTTCATAAATTCGACATAATACTTTGCCCCTTGACAACCATCTAACTTCGGTGTGCAGCAACAAACATTCATACTTTGATTCCATTGAGATGCAGAGTTGTTTAAAAAGACGGGTTTTTAGTGGTCTTGATTTGATGTAATTCACGACATTAACCACTTGGTCTAATACAGATTTCAAAGTAGCTGGTAGCGTTTTTGAAATTAGAGATTCTCTATGCAAGAAACAGTGCGTAGATATGATATTTTCATTTCGCTTTTTTGCAAGGGTACAAAAACCTTTTATGGAGCCTACCATGGAAGGGGCACCATCCGTACAAATTCCTACGCAAAAGTCCCATGATATATTTTTTTTCTCTAAATATGACGTTATGGAATCAAATACATCCTGACCTGTTGTACGTGCTGTAAGTTCTCTGCAGCATAAAAACTGATTGACTATTTCACCTTCGTCGACAAATCGAATAAATCCTAATAAATGAGCTTTGCCACTAATATCAGTGGATTCGTCACCTGCAATGCGAAGTTTTTTTTGTAAAGTTTATTTGTAACTTTTTCCTCAATATCTGCAGATAAATCAACAATCCTCCTTCTTATTGTATCATCCGACATAGGAATTTTCCGTATTTCGTTTTGTGCATCGTTGCCAAACATAATTTTGACCATCTCACAACATGCTGGTAATATAAGAGATTCTGCAACAGTGTGTGGTTTCTGTTTCAAAGCAATTAATTCGGCGACCTTATATGAAGCTATTTGTGCTTTGTCGGAAATTGTTAGCGACCTTTCAAATTGTTTCGCTTGTTTAGCTTGTGTCTCCAAAAGTCGCTTGAAATAATCTTTATTTTTTGAAGCTACACTAGCGTGTTTGGTAGTAAAATGGCGTTTTAATTTAGCCGGAGCCATTGCGCTATTAGCGAGTGTCTGCCCACAAACAATACACTTGGGAATTGGACAGTCTTCTTCCCCAGTCCAAATGAAGCCATAATCCAAATATTCATCCAAATATTGCCGGTTCAACATTTTTTTGCTGCGCTTCGATTTGTCATCAACCCCACTTCGTAAAGTTCCAGTATCTCCGCTGGTGCTCGCTTCATCATCATTAATTATGAGTTGTTCCACAGTAGTTTTTCTTTTAAGTTTGAGGAACTTATCCATTTTAATTTATTCGTCTCTAAACAAAATAATGCGGATGAATGCTTCACATTTTGTATAAAATATGCAATTACTTACCTTTGATAGATAAGCCGTACGTAAACGTTATCATAAAAAAACTGACACAGCGATTTTCACGTATTACGTTTGTGCAATGTAACAAATTCAACATTCAGTTGCAGACTGTGGCGTGGGTGACTCAGATTGGCTGTGGCCACTGCGGAGCTCAGCGCTCAGCGCTTATAAAATCCAACGTGTGCACTGTGCCGACGCGGTGTTGTCACGTTGGGCAAATGAACATTTACGCTGCAGAATTTTATTAAATTAAAATGTACGTAAGTGGCTATTTTAAAATTTGAAAATATTTATTTGAAAAGAGTAATTTAGCAAAATGGTATGTAGGATTGCGAGTATTTCGCGGAACACTTGGAAGGAATTCGCGGAACACTAGTGTTCCGCGGAACACCGGTTGAGAACCACTGTGCTAAGACTTAGTATAATAACAATACATGGCGATTGAATTAAAAAAATTAACTCATAGATTTTTAGTAAGGTCCAAAATAAATTTTCGAATTTAAAAATTATTAATTTTTTACATTGTTGGCTTACGAATCCTGATCTACTTACCATGTTACTAATTATTTAAATTCTAAAATTTTTGGGAGGAGAAGTGCTCTCTATATGATCAATGAAATGAAGATTTATTTTGAAATTTAATTTGGATTTTTATTTAAAACGGCAATCAAAACATAAAGAGGTAAAGAGCAACAGAACTCCCGAAAAGAAATACCGGCATAGTTGTAGACGTAGAAGATGATGAAAATAATATGTGCAAAAATTATTCCAAGTTACAGCAAGAAGACCGACTGAGATAGAAAACTACGACCTGTTAATACCAAATAAAGAAATATCCATGGCTATGCGGATTAAATTTGCATAGTATTTGTGGGCTTGTAGAAAGTTAACCAAGGTTTTTCCTCTTTTATTTCTAACTTCAGAGCCAAATTCTCCTGTATAGTTTTGGAGTTTTTCAAGTCGTTGTCCGATCTAAGCGTTGAAGTCTCCTATTATCATCGTATACGAGCTATTTCTTAATCGGGATGTGCTGCTCTTACGACGTCCAAATTAAACAGAAACTTTGTACTAAAAAAGATTTGTACAATATATCAGGTCATGTAGACTATGATAACACGGATACTAGTCAGAGCTTAATCGTTTACATATCTTAAGTATCTGGGATGGATGAATTTTACCTTTAAGTGAATAAGTGCTGAATATCTGAAATCTGTTTAATAATAGTAAAATTTTTTCACCCAGTTGTGAAAAAAAAAGTTTCAGCCAGAGTGAAAGTTAAATGGCAAATTTGCAATAAAAAAATTACTATCTATAAAATTGTTAGTTCGTCCTCTTCCATTAAATGCCAATTATTACAGACTGTTACAGTTTCACAACATACGTAACAGTTTATATACAAACATTTATAAAATATTAACAAAGTTTTTAGTAGTTTTGATTCTTCCTGTATTTCAAGATTTCGTGTACAAAAATACAGCTGTGTTAAAAACTACGCATTACGAGACAAGCCATTTGCAAAATAACAAAGATGTAAGTTTGAGATAAGGAACAAGATCCATATGCCAAATCAGAGATAGTCGAGTATTATCTTCCAAACGACACAGATATGCGTTTGGGTAAAGGGCGGCGCTTCCTACGGGACTTCGCTGCGGTGAAAAGACAGTTCCTAATGTAGAGATGGGCTAGTTTTATTTCCTAAATTTCACCGAAACAGAGGGTTCGCAATCCATTCGTGGCTGAAGTCGTGGTAAATTACAACTTATATATACCATTATATTAATGCTGATACACACGTACGTTTACTGTGTAGAATCGTTACAATATTATTTAATTATTTGGCAAGTTGAAATTGTTTGTGCTAAAGTATATTTCACATTATATCGCGTGCTGAATATTTTAACCGTTTGAGTACATTTTACATTTATTGCGAATTCATTTTATTGTAATGTACTTTATTTTACATTATGTCGCACATTGAGAATATTTTACATTTGCTTAAAGATTTTTTACTGTATCGGTAATTATTATTGACTTTTTGTATTAATAATTTTATTAATTTATTTAACTGACGACTTATTTTATTGTATTAATATTATTATTGTTGCGTACAATTTACATGCTGAATTTACTAAATTGTATTAATTTTACTATTAATTAAATGTGTAGTGTATAACTGATTTTCCTTTTGAACTGCATTTATTAATACTTATATATAATATATTTCATTGAATTGTTTTGGATTGCATTTTGTGTCTTTATTAACGAGGCATATAAGAAAATTAGCGAGCAGAACAACACCTTCAAAGGAAAGATAAAAGGCATAAAGGATAGAAATGGAAAAGTATCAGAAAATGACAAAGAGTTTAAAGAAATCTGGACTGATTATTTTAAAGAATTATTAACAGTACAAGAGGACGAAGACTTAAATGAAAATGTGGAAGAAGAGACCACGATGATAGAAACCGAGCTAGAAAAACCAACGAGAGATGAAGTTGAGGAAATTATAAACAGTAGTCGCAACGGTAAAGCACCAGGTATAGACGGTATAAACATGGAACTAATAAAATATGGTGGACATGAACTCAGAGAAAAAATATACCAATTAATAAAAGTCATATGGGACGAAGAAAAGATGCCAGAAGAATGACACAAAGGACAAATTATCACAATCCATAAAAAAGGAGACCAACAAATGTGTAATAATTATAGAGGACTGACATTATTAAACACAGCGTATAAAATCATGTCAACCTTAATACAACGAAGACTGGCCAAAGCGACAACAAATATCATGGGACAGTATCAATGCGGATTTATTAGGGGAAAGTCAACAACAGATGCCATACATACGGTAAAGCAAATTATGGAGAAAGCTTATGGATATAAAATAGAAATTGAACTGCTTTTTATAGACTTCCAACAAGCATTTGATTCAATAAACAGAGCGAAATTACTTACAGCTATGAGAGAAATGAGAATACACAACAAATTAAGACGATTAATAAAAATGACAATGAGCAAAACCGTAGTAACTGTAAAAACACAAGAAGGAGACACAGAAGAATTTGTTATAAATAAAGGTGTACGTCAAGGAGATTCATTATCTGCAACTCTGTTTAATCTTGCCCTGGAATATATAGTCAGAAAAATCAACAAAGGTACACTTAGAACGAGAGAGGGACAAATAATAGCATATGCCGACGATATTGTGATAATAACAAAGAACAGAAAAAAAAATGGAAAGTATGTTAAAAGAATTGGTAGCAGAAGGGAAAGTAATGGGATTAGTAATAAATCAAGAAAAAACAAAAATAATGAGATTTGACAAAAAATATGAAAACAAAAAGGTTAGACTAGGAGAATATATATTTGAAGAAGTAGAAAAGTTTAAGTATTTGGGAATATTATTAGAAAACAATGGAGAAAGGAAACAGAAATTAAAGAAAGGATAATTACAGCAAATAAGACATACTATGCAAATAAAAAGCTTCTAAAAAATAAATTACTGAGCAAAAAATCGAAAATGAAAATATATAAAACAATAATTCGACCGACTATGATGTATGCTGCCGAAACCCTTAGCATGACAAAAAAAACAAGAGGAAGACCTTAGAATACTAGAAAGGAAAATACTAAGAGCAATATTAGGACCAATAAAAATTAATGAAAACCAATATAGACAAAGAACGAATCATGAACTACTAAACGAAATTAAAGAGGATATAGTTTGTTAAATAAAACAGCAAATGGCAAAATGGCTAGGACATATATGGAGATCAGGACCATCTACGAAAATATTCTTAATATTGGAATGGACACCAGCTGGTAAACGAAGACGTGGAAGACCAAGATCTACATGGCTACAAGAAGTAACAAACTATCTCAACAGGGCGGGCGTACGACAATGGAGAGAAAAAACCAGAGAATGGAAACAGTGGAGAAAAATAACAAGAAAAATTTAACAAAGAAAATAAGGACTGATCTATCTCGTAAAATAGATCTAGAGAGCTTAAGCGGCGTAACCCCGTACGGGGTGTTTAGCCACAATATATATTAACGAGGCTGATTCATTTTACCACCGATTAATTATATTATTACATATAACGATGTTGTTATTTTACCAGTACACTTTTTTTTGTAAATTTATTCTTGACTACAAATAAATATTGTATATATTGTGTATTTATATATTGTAGCTCTTTATAGTTTTATTATATTTTAACGTATGTATTTTTGTCATTGGCTTTTATTTGATTTTAAATAGAGTTTATATAGTCTACTCGTATATTGTTTTTCTCTAGGAATATACATACCCAATGCGAAAGGGAGAAACCAGCGAGTTCTAGATTGAACATAATATCTTCTCTTCCCTTTCTGATGACTTTAATTGTGACATAGTGGTCATCTTATGTGCAGAACGCAATAACAAACTTACCCGGATAATAAATAGCTTCCTCTGAATTGTATCCTATTAACATAGGTATATCCGAAAATTTTCCATCCATAAAATCTTTGTGCATCGGACGATATATTAAGGCGCTATCACTATCACTATCTTCGATGACTGGTAACCATATATTAAAGATGAATATCGATTGAATGGGATCGTTCACAGGTAAATGACGTAACTAAAAATTACAAGACAAATTATTGTTTAACTATTTTTTAAATCGGTTTGGAGTGAGTTGTATTAGTGAAGTTTTAAATTTTAAATTTTATTTAAAGTTTTATTAAATAGTTAACAATATTTTAGTAAAATATGCATCAGTAGAGTAATTTGATAGTATAGCTGTATAAAATTATCGCGTCACAGCAATACAGCAAAACAAATAAAAATATTATTAAGACACCATAAGAGTGAAGTGAAAGAATTAGTCGGAATCGCCTACATAAAACTGGACAGCTTGTATGTGTGGACCAAAAAGCCAATAAACTACTTAAATATAGAAGAAAGAAAATCTCTATATAAACTAGAATTCCTATAAAAAAACCTTAAAACATTGGCTTACCACAGCCGCTCCTAAGCCCGGTCAAAAAAGGGAGGTAGGGTGGTTTAACAACAGGCTAACGATTTTTTTCGTAAAAAAGATTCATTGTTAGAATGACCAATATATAACCTTGGATATGGACTAACTACCGAAGACAAACGATGCAAATGACAAAAAAACAGGCAAAAAAACAGATTATCAGTGGTAATATTCCTAGGACATTGATAACAGACGAAATAATTTCATGACAATCGAAAGCTCGTTCCTTGGTAACAGCACGAAGCCGAAGGCTGAAAAAAACTATCCATTAAGTTTAGCAGACAATTACAATCTGAAAAATCACGTGAATCCTGTTTTGGGAGTGAATACGTGTATTGCCTGGTAGTTGTATATTGCCTTGTTGATACAATATTCACGAAGGCAGATCAAAGCGTTTAAAATAATTAATAGTCAAAGGGGAAATAAAAGTCAAAAGGGGACAGAAAAGACGTAAACATAAACATTCCTGGTTGAAAAATATAAGAGATTGGACTGGTTTGGAATAACATTTACTGTTTAGAACTGCACAAACCATTACTTAGCTGAGATTAGTACAAACTTTCAATAGAAAGACGATATAGTAAATTGTGCCATTTATGTTTATATTGTGAGACTTTAAAAAACTGCTTAGTGTAATTCAAAACAAAACGCATGGCATAATGAATAATGAAATAGATTTTTTTTGCACGACAATGCCTACACACATGCAGCCTAATAAATTTAAAATTTCATCGCATTGTTTAATTTGCAAAAATTTGTTCATTCTTGAAGTGTCCATTTTGTGTACTATAGTTGCGCGTGTTTCTGCAATCGAAGAAGAATCTCGGACGTCAGTGTGATGATGACGATAACCTCAAAAGTACCACGTTGCAGTAGATGTCAAATCAGGAGGCAAATTTGTATAATGGAATACATAAAGTTTTTTCGTGTTAATCAAAATCCTAGCAAAAAGTTTAATCTTTTTTATATAAAAACGATAATTACAAAAATAACTAATATCCAACAACAGCATATAAGTATTATATTTAAATTTTTCTGTTATAAAAAGTTGTGATAGCTTAAGAATAAGTCAATTAGTAAGGCACTTGTTAGTAGTGATTTAATATTTTTACCTTTATGGCATTAGCTAATCTAGTAAGTTTTTCAGGCGTTTGTTTTCGTAGTAATGCTATTAAGTCTTCTGAGTCTCCTTTAAAAGAAGAGTCAATTAACGTAGCCAACTCATCTGCGTACTTCTTTGGATCGGATTGGAAATATTGCGGACACAGAGCTGATCCACTTTCTGAGATAACTGATCTAAATAATCCTATAAAAAATTACGGGTGCTCATAAATAACTAAAAGATACTCTAAAATTAGGTTAAATATACAACAAATATTAACAAAAAAAAATTATAAGGGAAAATTTGCGAAAGCGTACATTTTGGAATTGTTTTAATAATAGCTAATAGAATAGATCTCTCTCTATCTAAAAGATAAACCATATTTCATATCCAATAAGCTAACGTAGAGTATGCAAAAGTATTACCAATATATGTCATAACAGTTTCTCACAGACAACAAAAAAAGCATTTTATAAAAAAATTACTCCAAGAGGAAATAAAAACAAAATACCATTGAAAGTGATTATCTAAGACTTTTAGCATTGGCTAGTAGGGGATTACTAAAAACAAGAAAAAAATAAAAACTAACGGACGTTATGAACATAACTATATTTTATAAAATGTGTCAAGAGATAAATAATTATCTTCTCTATGAACTTTTTGGCAGAAATTTTATGACGTAATTGAGGAAATATCATTTAATTAGGCCTTTGTAAGATACTCCTGGAAACTGGAAAATCTCATTATATTAGAAAGTCTTACAAAAGTTACCCAGAAAGGGTACGAGTTGTAATCTGCAGATAATTAGTTACGCAATATTTTAAAGGTCAATTAGTCTATTACAAATTGTATCCATAAGATGTGAGAAATTGTTAATAAAAAGACTATAACTCACCCCAGAGATCAAAAAAAAAATCAGACCTGATTTCCACATTGGCTTCAGTTACAAATATACCATCCAACAGATACATAGATTGGTAAAACAAATCGATAACGATCCTTAAAATAGATGATACGATTCTGCAGTCTTTCTGGATATAAATATAGCTTTTGATAAGATCTGGTACACTGGCCTACTCTATTAAATAAGCATCTACTGCATAGATTCTATGATGTGCTGGAATCTCATCTAACAGATACTTGCCATTAGACACCAAGAGTATTCACATTAAATGCAGACCCTGTTACAAAAAACCTACATAATTGTCTCAACGAGATCAAACTTTAGCTGAACAAGTGGAAAATAAAAGCCAATGAAACCAGGTTTAAACACTTAACTTTCAAAATGAAAAGGAATACTTGCTCAACGATCAAAATCAATAGTAAACAGTCTTAACAAACTAATCGTAAAGTACCTCGTTATGCATTTAGATGAACGTACGACGCGACGTAGAGAAAACAAAACGTAAACAATTAGGATTAAAACTGCACCATGTACTGGCTGATTGGCACGAAATTCTGACCAAAAATTTGAAATAAACTCCCAATCTACAAATCAATGTTAAATCAGACATAAACAGACGTAATAGAAATCTGGAGTGCTGCTAGTAACTTAAACCTTAAAATCTTCCAAAGATTTCAAAATAAGATCATGTCAATAATAACAGATGCCCCGTGGTGTGTACCCAAACATCCAAACGAGAGAGACTTGTGTGGCTAATTTAAACTACCAACCCTAAAAAGCAAGATTACATTTTCAACTTTAACCCTAGAGTACTATGTAACCATCGTAATTTTTACGACGTCAATATCATTGTTGTATGATATTGTGGAAAGGATATATCAGTTTCTCTTGCCCGTTCATCTGTTTTTACATTAGTGTATATCAAATATTTTACAAATACAGTTACGCTTATACGCTAAGTGAAGTGCCTGCAAGAAAGCACAGCTTCGTAAATATTACGAAGGTAAGTAATAATGTTATAATTGTAGGAAACATGATTTTATCATTGTTTTATAGTGTAAAATATAAATAAGAAAAATAGACACGCACACAGCTCTGACGCAACGGGAGCTAATTATGTAGAATTATGTCTCAAAGATTTGTCACCAGATAAATCGGATAACAATTATGATAAATCAGAAACTGGATCTGAAACAGAAGATGCCGTTTTAGAAGAATTCAGTCCATTTGAATCAAATTTTGAACCATCAAACGAAAATAACTCAGATTCCGACCATGACTTGCCATCCAGTAGTAAGAAAAGAAAAAGAAATTCTAAGAAGAGTAACGACTTGTAAATACAGTTTACAACTGTTGTTACTTAAGTGTTTTCAAGAAAAAAAAGTCATGGTTCTTAAATAAATAATAAAAAGAAATGTCCTGCTCAGAAAACTCCACGAAACGAAAAATAAACTCCAGAAATTGTAACTAAAGAGAAGAAAACTGCCGTCGAGTCTAAAAGGAAAAATGGACACATTTCACGTAACTTTCTACATTTTATTCAAGGCCTTACTGATAACAGTAAGGAACTACAAACTACCTTAGATGGTTTTCATTGTCTTAGAGTCCAAATTCTCTGGAAAAAATTGCTGGATATACAAATGCTAAAACTAAATATTGACGAATTACATGCACTCCTAGGACTACTTATTTTTGCTGCTGCCTAAAAAGGCAATCATTCAGCGAGAAGAAAAATGCTTGATGACAAAATTTCTGCAATATAAAAAGCAACTATGTGCCGGGAAAGATTTAAATTTCTTAAAGAATATTTACGTCTTGCTGATAAAATATCTAGATCAGGCAAAAAGCAAACAGACCTATTAGCAGCCATTTGTGAAAAATGGTATGATCTTATACCTGACTGCAAAACGTCTTATAAACTCCGATCATACCAAATAATCGATGAGCAGCTACCAGCTTTTCGGGGGAAGATATCCTTTCCGGATGTATGTTCCAAATAAACCAGCCAAATATGGACTGAAAATAGTAATGCTGTGTGACGTAGGTATCAAATATTCGATGCAGAATTGTATTTAGAAAAGGGAACTAAAACCAATGGACAGCCTCTAGAAGCATATTATCTAAAACAATTAACTTAGGATGTGCTCGAAGGTAACCTTAACATAACTATGCATAATTGGTTAATGTTAGTACCGGTAGCAACAGAGCTCTTAAAACCTGCTTACAATTTAACTATAATTTGTGCTCTATGGCAAAATAAAAGAGAAATAATTAACGATATGATAAATCTCAAAAATCGTACAATTGGTCATTTTTTATTTTCCTTCGATGGTGAAAAAAAAACAATGATATCCTATAAAACAGAAGTAAATAAGTATGTGCTTTTTCTGTCGCTAATCTGCAATGGACTAGTAGAATGTGATCCAACATGAAAGCCATATAGCAGATAAATATATTATATTTTAAATCATGAATGTGTTGCTTGTGTGAGTCCATTTCAAATAGGTAAAGAAATAATAAATAAGACTTACTCACAATCAATTTAATTTAACTATCAGACGACCGGTTTCGCTTTCTACAATATGCAAAGCATCCTCAGGTCTCGATACAAAGTTAAACAAATGCTGAAATAATAAAAACCCATATTAGGGTGTTGTCTAATAACGATAAACAAAGTAGATGTTGTAAATTACAATAATTATGCCAATATTACATGTCTGTGGTTTTATTTAAATGAGTAAGTTGAATAAAAGGTATAAAATTTTTAAAAAGTTTAAACAGACAAGGTAAGGCCCACAAATTGTTATAAAATAGTCTCTTCGATTGTAATAAATTAATAAATGAGCAAATAAATAAATAAAATAAACATTACTTACATGCCGGTACTCTATTAATAGATGGATGGTAGAACATGGTTGAAACTACTTTATATTGTTGAATGGAGAACTCAATTCTATTATTGCAGTTGTTTGACAGTAAACGGGAAGTTCTTGAGGAGATAGATTTTATCCAATGAAGAAGAGATATGTGTGAGATTGTTTGTTAAATGTAAGTGATGTAATATACCATTGTGTTATTAAAAGCTATTTATACTTATTCGAGAGATATATTTTTGAAACGTGTGTTATTTATTGAGTAATTGTTTTATGAAGGTGACAGTTTTATGACAATGAATAAGTTTGGATGTTTATGAAGGTGACAGTTTTATGACAATGAATAAGTTTAGATGTATATGAAGGTGACAGTTTTATGACAATGAATAAGTTTAGATGTTACTTATTCATTGTCATAAAACTGTCACCTTCATAAAACAATTACTCAATAAATAACACACATTTCAAAAATATATCTCTCGAATAAGTATAAATAGCTTTTAATAACACAATGGTATATTACATCACTTACATTTAACAAACAATCTCACACATATCTCTTCTTCATTGGATCAAATCTATCTCCTCAAGAACTTCCCGTTTACTGTCAAACAACTGCAATAATAGAATTGAGTTCTCCATTCAACAATATAAAGTAGTTTCAACCATGTTCTACCATCCATCTATTAATAGAGTACCGGCATGTAAGTAATGTTTATTTTATTTATTTATTTGCTCATTTATTAATTTATTACAATCGAAGAGACTATTTTATAACAATTTGTGGGCCTTACCTTGTCTGTTTAAACTTTTTAAAAATTTTATACCTTTTATTCAACTTACTCATTTAAATAAAACCACAGACATGTAATATTGGCATAATTATTGTAATTTACAACACCTACTTTGTTTATCGTTATTAGACAACACCCTAATATGGGTTTTTATTATTTCAGCATTTGTTTAACTTTGTATCGAGACCTGAGGATGCTTTGCATATTGTAGAAAGCGAAACCGGTCGTCTGATAGTTAAATGAAATTGATTGTGAGTAAGTCTTATTTATTATTTCTTTACCTATATTATATTTTATATTGCAACTAAATACGGAGTAGACACATTTGACCAAATGTGCGTTAACAGGAACATCTCTAGAAAAACAATATGATGGCCTCTTTGCCTATTCTATGGAATGTTCAATATGGCTTCCATAAACTCTTGGATAATTTATAATCATAACCAACATCGACCATAGATAAACACCATTACCAGAAAAAAAAATTATTACCATTTTGCCTGAACATCTGACCAAAACATGGCTACAACATCGTGTAAATTTGCCAATTTAAACCGCTCGGTAAAGTTGCTTATCTAAACTATTTTAAATCAGGAGCCAAAACAAGAACGAATATGGCCTACTGTATTAAAACTTCATCATCATCAATGGCGCTACAACTCTTCGTGAGTCTTTGCCGCGTTTACTGTTGCCTTCCATGTTGGTCGCTCCTGTGCCAGTAATTCCCATTGTCACACTCCAATTTTCTCTAGATCTTCTTTGACTGCATCTTTCCACCTTTTTCTAGGTCACCCTATAGACCTTCTTACATCTGGCCTCTCCCAGAAGACATTGTTTATACGGCGATTGTCGTTACTGCGTATTACTAGATTTTCTTTGCCGAATAGAGACTTTTCTTGTATCTGCCCCTCCATTCGTTTGGCACGCTGTCTCTGCAAGGGCCATACATCATTCGAAGAATTTTACGTTCCCACACCAGCAATTTATTTCCTTCTCTTTTTGTTATATTAAAAAATGCAATGTGTTAATTTTGTCCGTCTAAAAAACGTCGAATGACAACCCATCATTGCGAGTACTACCGACGTCCATTTTCTGGTAAACATCGCCCTCTTTGTTGTCAGCCATGCAGTTCTAAAATATAAAATTTATGATTTCTTTTGTGATTTTTTGGTTGTATTTGTGACTGCAACCAAATTTTTTTCTAAGCGTAGTAAATTTTACGATGGTTAGTGTAAATGAAGGTAAAAATAAGGTTAGTATTCTAGGGTAAAGCAAACAAAAATTCTAAAAGAATGGTAATCTTCTTAACCAACACTAAAGCAAATTAAAAATAACGTTACAGTTTGAGAACCCTCAACCGGCAACTGAGGACCAGGTGAATTTATTATATAAGCTTCATCTTATAATTTTGTAACCGTATCTGGACTAAACACCATAAAACATTAAACATATTACTTTTTAACAGACCACTAATTTAAATAAATTGTTGGTAGGTAGAGATAAGACATAATTACTAGATTGTTAAAATTGTTGAATTGTTGTCGTGATCATTTGTGTTGATATGATATACGTTACATGGATCTCGATGTCTTTTTTTACATTTTAACCCATATGGGCTAATTTATTTTAGATACTTTAGATATTGTTTGAAAAAGGCATAAAGTACATACCGAAACATCAACTAAATTAAAGAGCTTTTAATAATAATTAAATTTTAAATAAACATATTTTCCCAAGAAAGTTTTCTCAACAACAATTTCTCAAGAAAATGTCAACTAATACTTTGCAGATAACTAATAGAAAAGGATATTAAACAAAGAACTGTAATAACATCGGGACAACAAAACAGGCAAAAAAAACAAAAATGCGTTTGTTTGATAAAAAAGAAGTAGAAGTAGAATAAAAAAATCTTGACCATAATTACATATATTCGGTTCGGTTATTCTATGTTATATTTTGTTTTTTTCTGTATTAAAATAATATAAATCTCTTCAATAAATAATTTAAACAAACATCATTGTTCTTTTACCTTTCTTAATCCTTCTATGAGTATTGGCCAACATATGGAAACCAACTGAACTGGCACCGGAATTTTGTCCTCCTATAGTTACTTTATCTGGGTCACCACCGAACTGTTCTATATTTTTCCTTACCCATTGTAAAGCAAACCGTTGATCTTTTAAACCCCAGTTACCACTAGCGACATCATCACCAGTCGATAAAAATCCTAGAAGACAAATTTATATACTTATTATAAATTTTAACAGACGGGAATTAATTAATTAATGACATAATTATAATTTCTAATAGGAGTTGTTTTAAGACTAGTACTTAAATCATAACGCAATATTATAACACGTTTTAGCATATTTTAAAAATTTATTGTTAGGATTTATCAATTCAGCAACTAAAAGTGTATAACTTCTTTAAACGTCTTAAGCTTCCAACGTGAACACTTTCATTTTCCATTAATTCGTAATGTTCTCTCCCTAGAAAACGGCAAACATCACCAGAATTTTCATTTCTGCGCCAATTTTTTGTATCACGTAGCTATGAATGTTGCTTACTCTATTGGCAGCTTCTCTTAATGACCTCTTTTTTATAGTTGCCTTTTCTCTGGAAGGTTAGATATCAATATGAAAATTTTTACTGTATTTATTGCTGCTCTCAAAAGTCAGATGGAGCTTAAGTTAAACGAATATCTCAGCTTACTTAACCCAGAGGATCGGTTTCTTCCTCTATCTTTTACGTTCAATTTTGTCATCCAAAAACCACTTTAGCAGCCTCTTAATCTTCCAATGAGATGTTCAAAATGTTTAATTTTTAGCTTCTTAGCAGTCTAAATGACTTTATCGTTATTATTAATTCGGTATAGGACTTGAATGTTTTTGACTGCGCCTATCCAAGATATACGTAGCATTTTGCGATAGCTCCAGCGTCAAAATGTCCCATAATTTTTTGTTCTTTGATTGTTTTAGCCGGGCTTTAGAGTCGTTAAACATAGCAGCACAGTAGTCTTAATTTTAATATTGTTAATATGTTATGTTTTGGTGTCTGGTGGATGTTTTGTGAGATCTATGAATTTTGTCTTCCTTGAGTTCATTTGATGACCATATCATCCGCATTTCTCCATTACTAATCATTTCAATATAAATATGTTATGATGTCAAGGGTATCAGTGTTTTTGTTTTTAGAATGTTAATTAATTTATCTTGTTGGACACTATAAAAATCCCTTGTAAAATTAATAAAGCATGTAGTGACATTCTTGATCATATCAAGATTTCATTGCATGATGATATTTATTCCTCTCTAGTGTAAATGCCGTGTCGTTTATAGAGATTAGGTTCTTGTCACCACTTTTATTATCTAACTTTTTATAAATTCTATTATGGATTATTCTCAGAAACACATTCAGTATATGGCTTATCAGTTAATTTATTGTTCAGTGGTCTGCGCTCTTTTGCACCAGTTTAAGAAGAACAATTAGGATATCAGTTGGGCCCATCCATTTCTTCTTTTTTATTTCTTTTGTCTGCGCATATTTTACTTATCGTTAAAGAATTTTTGAAATTGTTTGTTACGTTTTCTGATGCATTATTTGTTACCTTTTATCTCTTTGACTTATTTCAAACCATTTATTTGCTGTTTTATTAATATGGAAATTTTACTATTCGCGTCTTTTATGATATACGTGTACTTTTGTTTTTTTTTTTTCGTTCATGTTTCGATGAACAGTAAAGCTGTCATATTTCTTTTGGTATTCCTCAATTTTCGGAAACTGCCCATTTAGGGAACTATTTGTCGCTGTATTTTTTTTAAATCCTATAAGTTAAGAGGTTTTCTTATTTAACCCAAAGTTGGTACACTTTTTATGACAAAATTTTAAAGATTTGCGAGCTAACGCTGGAATTGGAGTTGATATTTTTAGGTGGGGAATACCTTTGAAGCGCTTTCAATTTCTCCTCCAATGTCTACGATTTGACGATCAAAATACTAGAGGGAAAAAGCGTCACATAGATAACGTGGGCCTATTATGGCTGTATTTGAAAAATTTTTGGAAAACTGTAGAGAATCGTAGACTCCTGCTGAATTTATGTTCATCAAACGTAATCTTGAGTTATTTCAAGGGTGCTGCCCACTCAGATAGTATATGCCTAATAAACCTGCCAAATATGGCATTAAAGTTTTTGTTCTAATAGATGCAAGAACATTGCATTAGAATTGCAAGAACTAATCTTGAGATATATCTTAGTCAACAGCTAGAAGGGCCATTTCGTGGCAATAATAAGCCGGTGATGCTGTCTTGAGGCTTATAGAGCTAATTGAAAAATCTAATTAAAATATTACATTTGATAATTTGTTTGCACGGTTTTTTAAATATGGCTCATAAAAGGCTACAATCTGACTGTAGTATGTACTGTGAAAAAAAAATAAACGAGAGATACCTCCAAATATGCTATCACTTAGAGATAGGCCAGAAAGAAGTTCGAAGTTAGTTTTTCAATAGGTATAAATGCAGGAGAATTACAAAAAAACTAAACTAAAATTTGCACAATTTCACGAAGGCAGGGGTGGACATTATTGATGAGCTCTCGGAAACATATAATTTTTCGCGAAATATTAGAAGATAAACCCTTAGATTGTTTTACTCTTTTCGAAACACCGCTGCAATAAAGGCCTTGCTTATTTGGAGATTACATAATACAAATACAACTATCACCCCTCGAAACTTTTTAAAAATGGGAATTTCACATACAAATGAATACAAGTTCCAGATGCAAGAAAATCCGCGTATTTGTCGAGAACAATGTGAAAACATTGCTGAATTACCAGAAGGATCTAGGAAAACTCTTTAACCTCAAGGTGAAAGTAATAATAAACGCCAAAAATGTTTACGAGGGTGTCATGTGTGTCTTGGCAGGAAGTCCTTTTGCATTTGTCAAATATGCAGCTGTTTTGTTTAAATGGATCACTCTAGCCATATTTGCGATGATGGTCAGGCTTCCTACAGTACATAAAACATCTTTTTTATAAGGCTATTAATATTGCTTTTTTAAGCTTTAACTTCATGTTACTAATATCATTTTACAGTAAGAAACTGTTTTTGTGTCATTTAAAAGTTTTCTGAATTTGCCTGATTTTAATATTCTTGAAATTAACCAAATTTATGTAAAGTTGGTTTTGACTATATCCTTTATTTTATTTAGTTGTTTTTTGTTTAAGCTCAATAAAAAACAATAACATTGTAATAAAAGTTACCTTAAACTACCAAATTATGAAGTGTTATATTTTCAACGATTTTTGTAATTTGGGGTAAGTACATCAGACCCATACCCCACAGTTTTCTGAAGTAACTTTTGATGACCGTACCAGCGCCGGGATAATCAGCCATCCAGATCTGCTGTTGCTTTGATGTTTGTACAAGTATTTACATCTTTGACTTTATATTAATTATATGCATATGTTTAAGGTTGTCACAGGTAATGACAAACATTTTTCAATAAGGTAGTCACTTTTGCGAATATGAATTTAAAAAACTGGTCAATAAAGCGTTCTATAATTTATTTTTCTTACCAAATACTCCTAGTCTATAGTTGACAGTTACAAGTATAACGTCATAATCCATGAAATAAACTGGTTTAACATCTGATGTAGAACCGGACTGATATGCACTACCTTGGAACCATACAAGTACAGGTAGAGATTGACTGTTGCTGCTTTTTAAATCCTAAAATACATATTTAGTAGAATAGAAGTAATAGAACGCAAGAATTTTTAAGATAATAAAAACACACACTGTTAAGGTCTACATGTCTACTGTTTTTAAAATATTACGGTTAGTTGAAACCACAACAAAAAACAATGCATTTTCTTTAACAAAATACTTTGTAAATTCATCTTCTTATAGTGCCTATCCGTTACTAATGTTGGACAATAACATGACTATTTTAATTTTATTGACTGCTGCCCTAAAAGTTCGGTAGTGGCAAAGTTAAACCATCCTTACTTTGGAGTATATTCCAGTATTTTTATTATTACGCATTATATGGCTCAGATTCCAATTTGTGATATGTTGTGGTTATAACTATGTTTCGCCTTTTACTCATTCTATGCAGAACTTCTTCGTTGGTAACTTTGTCTATCCAGGAAATCCTCATGCATTTATAGCACCACGTTTCAAATGTTTTGGGTCTCTTCAGTGACGTTTTCATTAAGGTCCAAGATTCCACGTCGTATAGAAGAACCGAGAATGTGTAGCATTTTAGTAAACGAACCTTTATTGTTATATTGGTGACTATTAATTTTTTTTTTGTATTTTGATAAAAGCTGATCTTGCCTTCCTGATCCTTATCTTAATTGCCGTTCCCGTCGAGTATTTCCATTGTTTGTTTAAATTTTCATCCAAATAGTACAGTTTGTTAATTACAGGATGGTATATTTTAATGCCAATGTAAAAAAAAAACGGGTGTGGCAGTCCAGTGGGACTGTCGGTAGAAATTACACTTCTATACACGCGTTCGCCATTAAAAATTTATATGGGAGTCAATCTGCACAATCATTAATACACTAACATAGTCATTAATAATATACAAAAGGAACATTTTTATTCTCGTGAGAAAAAGAAAGAAAAAATATATTTTCTGTTTCTCTCGTACTCATTATTTTCCATAGGTAATGGTTTCACAGATTTAACCCATACAAAGTATAACTTCAACAAAACCCTAAATAACGAAATCTTCTTTGTTCCGTTTATTAAAATGTTGTCTAAAAAGAGTTGTATAAGTAAATTTAAGCGGTACTTGTTTTTGATAGGAGAGGTTTATGACATTTTTTAATTAGACACGATTAATCGCTTTTAATACAATCATGAAATCTAAAGCACACAAAATTAATGCATGTTATTGTACTTAATTATATCTACAGCTGTAAATCTACAGCTTTAATTTTCTTGTTCTGATAAATTTTATGTTATTGGACTTGAGAGCTAATATTAAAATCATGTGCAGTTCGTTTTGTCACTACAATCAGAGACTGATGCATTTTATGACTGATTGTGCCATTAAATTTGTAGTGGGCTAAGCATAGTGCAGGACGTGACTCATGTCGTTGCAAAGTCAAGGTGTCAGCCCATCCATGAATACATTTCACAAGAGAAAGGATGAAAATCCTTACTGCTAATAACTTCTGGCTACTTTTGCTGATAATGTATGTCTGAGTAACACTACGTATATCGTAAGGCTGGTGAGGTGAGTATCCAATATATCTATCTGCAGCTTAATTTGTGTATTTATTTTAAAAGAATCGCTTTTTTTATTGCTTCGTAGAAGTTGTCGAATGTTTCTTAAGAGACGAACCCAACATTACTTCCAGAACATACTCCCATTTCTGTACATAGTATGTATAGTACTATTTACAAAGAAAGTCCCTGTCGATATGCATACTGTTCCTAAAATGTCGGCATTTTAATCAACACACCATCTTTAAATCCCTATCTAGTAGTTTTTTAGAGTCTTCAGTACGAATGACATCATATTTGTCATCCTCAGAGACTTGGCTTTTTTGGCTCATTTTGCCAGATCTGTAAATCAAATTTACCCTTATGAACCTTTATTCTTTTGCTTAGTATTCTAGTCCTAAGCTAGCCTATACGATCATACATAATTTTTAAACAGAAGGTAATTTTTGTTCTGTAAAATATTGGATAAATCCGAATCATCCATTTATATGGCACAAATGAGCTTATTTGCCATTTGCTTTTGTCCTGGATTACCACTTTTTTTACCACACACACCAATTTTCTCTAAAACTTTATGTCCATAATATCCAGTCTAGTCTGCTGCTATGTGTCTAGTTACATCAGTTGTGTTCGAGGTTCAGGACAGTGTTCCCTGAAAAATTCATTCACGCTCTCTTCAACACTCTGAATGCATTCACTTGCCTTCTTTTAGTGTGGGGAATAATTCTTTAAACATTCTTTAAATAAGCTTTATTAACCCTTGACATTTCTGCAGGCTCTTCTATATTCTTGTAATGTCCTCTTAGGGATTCTGTTTTTCTTCTTATTCTTTTGCACTTTTTTATGTTTTTGCATATTTTGGCAAAATTAAATTTTCATAAATTTTCATCTGACTTCTGTCCTTTGATTTTTAAGGTTTTCATTATACCAGAATATTCTTTTGTTGGAATTACTCTTTATATCCAGACAACTGTCTTAGAATGTCAACATGATAATCTCTTGAAATTGTAAGGCTGCCATGGTAGATCCAGTGTATGTCTTATTCTCCGTTTATACCTGCCTAAACAATATTCCAGGTCTAATTGATATACTTGCTTAATAGACTCAATACCTTTTTTTTTTTACAGATATATGAATGGTGCAAACAAGATTCGTCATCTGACGCATTCCATTTTTTGTTTCTGTCGTAGCTGCATGAGTCATAGTCACTATTATATCAATAACATCCTTTCTTTCTGAAGTTATGATCTAGATGAGTATCAAGATAGTGTCTCCGTACCACTACTATTCTAGTTTGGCTTGTAATACTGCTATATGACTTGCTCTTCTAGTTAAAGTCCCTTGTTTTTTTAACAACTCTCTATTACTGGGGAGGAGTAATGGTATTCTCTCGAGGTTTCTCTTTTCTTTTATTCTGGGATTTTGCCAGTACCTTAGATTTGGTTTCGTGTGGATTTGGTGTGATCCATGTCCCAGCAGATATTTTTGCCTGTCTTTTCATTCTCTTCTGTTACGCTTTAGAAAGGTATTTTTTGATAACTGGCTCTGAGGCACTTGTACCTTGTAGTTGTAGGCGTAGATTTGTTTTCACTTCATCTTATTTTCCATCTTTGTTCCTTCGAGTTAGGAAGAAATACTGAAAGCACGACACTGCGCCCCTACTGCGCTAATGGTATAATCCCTAGTCTTAGCCATTTCTCTGGGAAATCTCTCAAGGCAGTAGGTTATCGACTACTGCAGCTGTCTTTGATGTGAACTTTACAATAATTAGATAGATAAATCCTTTATGCCAATAACTTCTCATTTAATCTGGTGATGTTTATTTGGTTATACCTTATTAACACCTATCCTATTCACACATAGTACCTATCTAATAATAATATCTATAACTATGGACATATCTAAAGAAGTAGTATAGCAGAAACTATTCGCATCTTTAAATCAAAAATAAAAACATTTTATTCGCTTTGCACGCAAAAATCATATATAAAAGAAAACAAGATCTATGTTTGTAATAATTACAATATGGTATTATTATGTAATTGATTTATCTTACCGCAGGAGTATATACGTTCAGATACAGACAGTCCTCAGATCCTTGTGGAATGACTGCAATAATTTGTAAGCAAGCTTTTTCATTTCTCTTTGTTGCTAGAGTTCCATCCCAGTCATCTACTTTTTGTGGGGCCTTAAAATTTATACAATATAAATAGGTTACTCAAAAATATAAGGTAATAATAATAACATAGGAGTTTAAATAATAAATTAATCATTTAATAGAATCATAAATAAATGTTAGCAATAGTGTATTCAATTAAATAACTTAAGTTAGATTGTCGACGTCACAACAAAGAATAGTTTTGTATAACCATTATAAAATCCAAATAAAAGTTGACGACTAACTATTTGAAAAATGGATATCAGGAGAGGTATTTGTCAGAATTTAATACTATCCTCTTTGTGATTTATTAGTGGTCTCTCTATTTCTCTCTTTTTCTTTGCCAACCTTGCCAATTTTTATTATTTTAAGTTAACAAGTACACACAATGCTGTACTGTATAAATTAAACAAATTAAATAATATTATTTAGATAAACTTACCTTAAATCTATTGTCTCCCGTGGGAGGTGCCGCATAAGGTATCCCTTCAAAAGCATAGTATTTCTGCTCCTCCAAACTCTTTTTTGTTTTTCCTTGTATTTTACCATTAGAAATTGTTACAATGGTACCATCATCATCCTTTAAAAATATTTATTAATATCAGAAATGCATCAATAATCACACCTATGTTAATATGTTTAATAACTATGTTGTATGATATTATGCAATAAAAAAATGCAATTTAAAAAGAATCGAGGCTTTCCAACTCTGGTTATACCGCAGTTTCACTAAGGAAATATAATACCAACTTGGTTTTTTTTATTTGGGCACCCCAAATAAGATATTTTAACATTTCCGTTTACATTTTTATTTATTTTTCACTTATATCTCTTTTTAGTTGTTAAAACTACTCTGCAAATAAAATCTTTATATTTTACGTCATGTTGAAGGCACTTGTAATTAAAACACTCAGTAAGACATTTAAACATTTTATTAAGAGGATAAAAATATTTCGACAGGTAGATTTAGCAAATATAAATAAAATTGTCACAAAATAGAAAACACAGTGTTTTATTACCTTTTTTGTTTCAATTTAAAAATTACCATTTATTCTCAAATCTTAAATTTTGAAAATTATAAAAAATACGATATGCATTTGACGTGTGTTAAATGTCAAAAGAATGTTATGGCTGCATCTAAATTATATTTTCAACGATATTGAGAAGGGAGCAATCAGACAAAAGAATTTTTAAAATTCTGACTTTAAGGCCTTATCGTACATCTGTCTGAAAAAATTACAGCCAAACAATTATTTAAGAAGGATACAATTTGCAAAATGGTAAAAACGAAAATGTATTGAAAATCCAAATTTGATCGTCCTCCCAGTGTTGATATATGGAGCAGAAATACTTAATTTAACAAAACCCTCGGCTACCAAATTAAGAGTCATAGAGAGAAGAATAGATCGGTCCAGTTAGGAATAGTTAGAAATTACTCTGGAAGATAAAATAAAAAACGAAGAGCTCAGGAGAAGAACCAAACTGAACAACGTCATCAAAAGGACAGCCAGATTAAAATGGAGATGGGCAGGACACATAGCTAGAGTGACAAATCGGCAATGGACAAGAAGGATATTTGAATGGAGACCAAGAGACGGGGTTGGAAATACAAGCAAGAGAAACATGTTCAGCAGTAAACTTTTAGTCTAGATAATGATGATTAGCTCTTTTATGACCTCTTTATATGTAATATAATCAACCTATTAAATTTTAAGCAGCCTTCTGAGACACCACGTTTCGAACGATATATTATGGTTTAGCCAACTTACATTATATGACCAGGTTTCGCTACCGTACAATATTATTGGTCATATATGTAGATAGTAGATATAGGTCATTTTAGAACGCGAATACAGTGACCCACTGAAGTTTCGGGCCAATAAATGTCGTAATTAAATTTGTTAAAAGTATTAATAGTTTTGAAGCTATTGTCTTGTGGCATTTTAAAGAAATTACTATTTTAAAGGGAATAAGCCACAATTGAAGATTAAAATAAGTTTGTTGACGTTTCAATATTAATTTGGAAATCGTTCTCAAAATATATTTTATATTTTAAGAACGATTTTCGAAGTAAAGATTAAAATGTTAATAAACTTATTTTAATCTTCAATTGTGGCTTATTCCCATTAAAAAATAATTTATACTTATTGTCATTCGTATCTTCACTTCCTAGTCGCAGTCCCACTTACTGTTTTGAAGGTAGCTCCAAGATATTTAAATTTCTCAATTCGGTGTATAAGTTGGTTTTTTATTGTCAGTTCATTCAATACAATTTTTTGTAACATTTATTAGTTTTGCGTAAGTCATTTTTTTAAGGTCTAGTTTTGCTATGATGCTTGTTCAAAAGGTAGATATGGAGAGGAGGATTAGAAATATAAAGGTAATTGCAGGAAATGTACTTCCTGGATAAGAATTTAAAAATTCTTTCGTATTTTATAAGGAATTGGCCAATTCTTATCATTTTTCATTATTACTATTTCCTTTATATTTTTAATATAACTTGGAATATCACGTTCAGACATAAACAAATATTATTATTTAATATGCATGAAAATTATTATTTTGAAAGCTGACGAGAAACGTAGGGATATTTTAAGAGAAAGAAATGGAAATCTTAATACCCTTAAGCAGAAGCAATTTATCAGTATTTAAGTAAGAACACTGCTACTGCACATCTATATATGCTTGTTTTATGAGTAGATTTGCAACAGGTATTATTTGGTCTATGCAGTCTTGTATATTTTACCACTGTAAACTGTGCTATAGAACTTTAATGTAAACAATCTGTGTACCAACTTAGTATCGAATGGCACTATTCTTAAGCGGAGGTCAACAGACGTAACATACGTATATTTGACTGTGTTTATGATGGAGTAGATTTAAGTCAATACGACAAGCACTACACCAGAACAAATTAGAATAAATAAAATAAAGTATATCTGAATAATATGAAAAACGTAGTTAAAGAAAACGGAAGAATTAAAAAAGAAAACTGGATAATTAAAGATGAAATTAAATTAATAAATAAAAGATTAGAAAATATAGAAAATAAAGATAGGAAAAACAACATAGTACTACATGGGCTACCAGTTAATACACTTAGAAAGAAAATGACAACCTTTGTAGAAAGAGAACTAGATGCACAGGCTATAATATAAAATAAAAAATATGAATGTAAGGTACGCCAAGAGATTAATAAGAAAAATTTGCCTGATAAAAGTAAGTACCTAAAAAAGCGGAAAAAATATTGTAATGAAAAACAAAAGTAAATTAAAAGAAAATTAATGGGCCACAATATACAGTGCTAGTCAAAAGTCCGTTCCCCCCTCGTATCTTTTGAACGGTTACTGTTATAATAGTGAAATTTGGAGGAAGGTAATAAACAGACGTAGGCTTCTCAACTAGTCATAACAGGTGACGCAATAGTGACAGATGACGTTACAGCGCCATTGTGACAGATAATTTTAAATAGGACCTTATGACAAGTAACACATTGTTTAAAAGGTATTGAAAATACCTATTCACTCATAATCATTTTGTTTAAGTTTAAGCTAATTTTGATGAATAAATTAAATAAATACTAAAATTGTAGCTTCTCATTTAATTGATAAATATTTAACAACCAGTTCTTATAGTAAGTGTTCAAAATGTGCTCGATCTACTTCCTGACAGTAATGCATCCTATTTCTAAACTCTTGCCGTACTCGTTCAAATGTGTCGGTGGAAATTGCCCTTCATTCTTCAACAATTCGTTGTTTCAAAATGTCAATATTGTCGGTTGCTGTAGCGTAAACTTTAGATTTCAAGTATCCCCACAGAAAAAAATCTAATGGTGTGAGGTCCGGTGATCGAGCTGGCCATTCTATCGTACCACGTCGTCCAATCCATATACCACGATATTCCTCATCTAGGTAACGTCTTACTGTACCATAATGGTGTGCAGGAGTACCATCCTGTTAAAACGTTATTTCCAAGTTGCCGAATTCATCTGGATTATCCTCCAGAATTTTAAGTATTAATGGTTTAATTGCAGTTTGTATCTTCAGATACACTTCACCGGTTAAGTTAGTATTGAGAAAAACAGAAAACTATGTGGTTTCCCAAAATACCTGCCCAAACATTTATTTTTTTTTTAAATTGAGTATGTGTTTCACGAAAGACGTGAGGATTTGTGTCACTCCAATACATCACATTGTGTGTGTTAACATTTCTTTTGAGAGAAAATGTACTTTCGTCATTAAAACAAATTGTTTTTATATAATTGGCTGTTGGTTAATTTTATTGGACATATTTTCACAGAATTCTAGTCTTCGGTAGGGGTCATCATCTGAAAGTTGGTGCATAATTTTTAATTTGTATGGATTAAATTTGTTTTCAGCCAACACTCGGTGTACTGTCTTTTGAATGATTCCATAGATAGATGCAACTTGGGCTGTAGAAGAAGTAGGGTCCACTACCATTTCTGAATATGTCAAATTTTTTGTCATCACTAATTGTTGGTCGACTAGGTCGTTTGACATCTTGAACACTACCTGTTTGTTTAAACTTCCGAAGAAGCTTTCTCAAATAAGATCTCGATATAGGGCGATCAGGGTACCTCTCATTAAAAAGACGTTCCGCTGCATGGAAATTATTTCCACATTCACCAATTATTAACACAGCTGCTACTTTAGTCGGCTGCAGTACGTACCATTCTGCCTTTGTAAAAATGTAAAAGTCTCGTTAAACAATAATTAAACTAAATAATAACTAAGAACAACTAACTAAAAACAACTTGACTAAACTTGAATTGACTAAACTAAGTAGAAACAGAAACTAAATATTGGGCTATAAACGCTTTTGCAAACTAAAAACAACTAGAGAATTGACAAACGTCAACTTTTTTTGACAAATAACCAAAGGCTGACGTTAGATTTTTTATTAATTAAATGCCAAATTAGAATTTTAGTATTTATTTAATTTATTCGTCAAAAGCATCTTTCAAAAGTCCAAACAAAATTAGTATGATTAAATAGGTATATTAAAATAATTGTAGTTTCGCATTTAATCAATAATTATTCTAACGCTCGCGTCTGGTTAGTTGTCAAAATAGTTGACGTTGACGTAAAAACAATTAGAGAATTGTAAAACGTAAACTTTTTGATAAGTAACCACAGGCGGAGGTTTTAATATTTATTAATTAAATGCGAAACTACAATTTTAGTATTTATTTAATTTATTTTTTAAAATGAGCTTATACTCAAATAAAATTATTATGACTGAATAGGTATTTTTTATGTGTATGTGTATTTTTTTACTGTGACAAAATTATTTGTCACAGTGGCGCTGTAACGTCATCTGTCACTATTACGTCACCTGTTATGACTAGTTAAGGCCGTTCCTTGCGTTTCTGGGCATACCTAAGTTCCAATGTAAAAGTTTATATCAAATAACGCAAAAACTATGGCAGATATTGAGATGATTCTTTTTTTATATGAAAGGTCTTAAAAAGTTCTAGTGCACTATTTGATTGTAAATTAATAAATTGTTTAAACAATATTTTTTTTTTAAATATTTTTGGTTAAACTAAACGTAAAAATTTTTTTTTTGAAATAGGGCACTACAGAATTTTACCCACTTTCCGAATCTGTTTTTATTTTTAACATAAAGTGTAAGACAAAGCAGCTATTTCATATAAACTATTTAAAAAATGTTAAATTGTGCTAAATGTACTCTCTCTCTCGGTCAGTACAAGCTGTCCTTGTTGATAGTTTCTAGACTCTCGCCGACGAGTAGGTAAGAAAGTTGGAGGGTCATAAATAATGTTGAATAACATTATTAGGGCTTATTTCGACTTTTGACTAGTTTTGACAAACCAGTGTGTTTTGTTGTTTTTAAAATGGGTAGTTCGCGAAGACGTTTATGCTCCGGACGAAAAAGTCGACGACGATTGAGGAAATTTTATATAAATAAGCAGTAAGTACCTATAATTTGATTAAATTTTTATATGAATAGAAATATTTTCTGTTGAGTTGTGACATTTTCCTTCTAAATGCTTATACTATTTTT